GTAGGTCTGTAGAATATGTGTATTTCAGACATTTGTAACGAACCCCTGTTGATCAGTGCAGTGTAACAGACGATATTTCTGATAAATTGCATGAGTGTTAAAATTGTTTCCATTGCCGGCATTGGTGATTTCAATCGATGTGCATTTTGTACGATATTGCAGACCTTGGTCTTGTTTTTGTTGTAATAAAAGTATTTTTTATTTACTTTTTTCTTTTGCACATAAATTAACAATGGCATTGTCAAGTCTCAAAATGCCCAACGATATTTCAGCAGCCGTCATGTTTATTTACATTGGATATTGTAGTTCCGGTCAGTGTTGTATTAATACGCTAAGAAGTGTGTCTCGTGCTGCATGGTAATTAAAGTCCCATCAACGACACAGCTTTCAAAGAGGCTATATAGTGACAATGCCATGCAAATGTAAATATTGTATATTTAATCGTGTTCTTAGCAGATCTGATAAGCTCTTCGTTTCGATCCTGTACAAATTTATGTTTGAAAATATGGTTGGTATTACTGATTAGAGCTATAGTTACTAATTAAGAAGGTATGAAAGTTCAAGCTTTCTAGTGACATAGAATTTCCGATTTATCGATTCAAAATAATTTATTTACAATACATGTAGGTTTGAGAAACCATTTCTCAAAACGCGTTTTTTAAACCCGTCCCGAATAATTTTACATAGGTTTTCAAGTAAATATGTTAAATAACCTTGGCGATACTTGCTAGGTTTTAATTCACAGACCTATTTGGTGTTTTTTGTTTTGTATTTTTTGGCGGGTTCCGAGACTAATACAATGTGGATATTGTGAACTTACACGTAATACTTACGGCGCTTAGAAGACGTAAATTATCCCCTTACGTAAAATTCAATATTAAATATGCAGAATAAAACGGAAACTACGACGTGATACGTTTACAGATAGGTATATAACATTTATAACTCAGTTCTAACAGATGTCAGTAACATTCCATATATATCTGGTAATATTCCTTAACGGGACTGCGTTAATCTACCTATGGGCGATTAGGCGATACGCAAACCACTAATACATCAAACTCAAGTTTACACGCTGTCCTCACTCCTAAAACCATCCAATCGTCAGACACTGTGACTACATTTCCCGCCATCACAAATTAATCAGCGTGAAACTATGACAGTTTAAACTCTATTTGTAGTTTTGTGATTACGAAATCATACGCGTAGCCGATGACCAGTACGTGGTAATGGCCATTTACGCTCACACATTTTCTTAAAAAACCAACAACCTCATGATGCTTACCACGTGACAGCTAATGAGGTTTGATATCTTAGATTGCACTGTCTGGTCTACATGTAAGTGATAACTTGTCATTGACTACGCCACGGAATTCTGACTATTTGCTTATGATGAAGTGATATTCAAAGAAAACCACATTGACGTCATTCACCCCGCTAATCCACTTCCGATCCAGCAGCACGGTGACATCGATCAGAGGGACGACAGATCGTGGAAGAACAACATTAATTATTAGTAATTCAGATATCATACATTGCAGACATTGTGCTCTGTATCGAATCTCTAGCGAAGGAGAGTTCCAATGTGTTCGGCATTTTCCGGACTTCAGAGTAGCTTTTACGAAAGAACCACATTCAGTAAAATATTAAATTATATTATATTATATTTATTATAGGAACAATATTGATCAAAACGGGTATGTAATAAAAGTCAGACAACTTATATTTATGTCGCATCATTTCGTGATTGTACCGTTATTTATCTCTTGGGATTTTTCGTTTAAATGAATAAGAAATATCGATATAATATTTATTAGTACAAATTAAAATTATAGGTACTGTAGATTATGTAAGCAGTGAGGTCTGAAGTCGTGCAAGCTACAGCTAGTTGTTTGTATCGATGATTTGTCGTTAGGCTACACAAAGTCATCATTCGTTCCTTGGTTAACATAATTTTTAGAAATAAAAAACCCATCCCCCACTCTTACGTTTATTTTTGTTTCTCGCTTTCACCTCAATTGTATTTTTTCACGTCTTTTTTAATATTTTAATTTTCGCTTAAAATAATGAAACATCATATCAATCTGATTAAAATCATATGTTACATGGCTTCGTTAACTTCGTACTACGCATGAGGCGGAGCCATGTAACAGATGATTTTAATCAGATTGACATAATATAATCCATTGAGTGTAGCTTAATGACGAAATCTCCAGCTTCATAGCTGTTGTTCTATCACAATGTCAATCGTGTATGTTAAAAAAAATGCAACTTAATTTGGAAGTCGTCATTCTGGTGATATACCATTCCATAATTCCTGAGCAAGATTCCATGATCTGATCTGCATCGAATTCTGGAATAGATTTTGGTAGTATTTCTTAAAAACAACAAACTCCTTTTTTATGTTTTAATTTTTCAAATTTTATGTTGAAAGAAATAAATAGAAGTGTTTTCAAATATAACAGAATACTCTGTAGTCCATGAAAATATGACCATACGTAATAACAACGACTCACAACACCTTACAACGCCCCCTACACCACCATGGTAGATAATCCGATCCCACGATATCAATTCTGTTAGTAGTGCTCCCCCTTTTATGTTTGTTCTTCTTACTCTACCCGTTAGGTGTCGCTCAAACACAATGGTTATAAGCAGCATCTATGTGAGGAATTCTGAAAGACTTCAGTATTAAATGTTTGAAAACAATATTGTATTAACAAAATTATTTAAAAAACATGAATCAATTTATAGTTCTGTATAACTTAGAACTATATCCATACGTTGTGAGATATTCACAATTTACCAATTATGTATTTTTTTGCCAATTTTCCATCAACTTTTGGGAAACACCGTAAGGGCCCCCTCCCTTCTCTCAATTAGTTTCTTGGTCTACCTATATGGATTCCTGTCTTTGACGTGGAATTGGACCATTCTACCATGATTGTGCAGGTCGAACATACATACAGTAAAACTTCGATATAATGCCCTTGTTCCATCTGCCACTTCGCTTATCGACACAATTTAAAGGCCCTGTTCTGGTTTCGTTCCCACAATTCCATTATATATATATTCCCCGATATGTCGCAAAATCTTTTCCTATTTCCAAAATGTCGTTGACCAAACAATGACAAAATATCGATGTTTTACTCTATTGTCTTTACCAGTTCACGGATTACGTCACGCTGTCAACACCCTTGAACGATTCTGCAGGAGTAACCGTTCAATCCCTCATAAAACGATAGAGGGCGCCACTAAACACAAGCAGAATCGGCCAAGATTTGTTGATTACGTGATGTAGTACATAGACTGCATTTCCACTTGACGACATTTTATAACATTTAAACTCTGTATTGAGCACTCATACTTATCAACATACACACATGTTTCACATGTTTCAACGTAACATACTTTCACATATCATCACATGTTTATAACACAAATCCACATATCACAATACCGCGCATGCGTGCCTTCAACAGCACGTCGCCATTGAAAGAGAAGTGGTTGATCTAATCGACCACTGTCTAAAACAGTCCACGGAGGCCCGAAGAGAACCGTACACGGAGGCCCGAAGAGACCCGTTGATATTACATGTTATACATGTCTGTCTCATTTACACGATGATTTCACACTAGTGATATTGAGCCATTCCCCGTAGTAGAAAATTGTTCATGTCTACAAACATATATAGGAACGTTCTCGCTCTCGCTCTCGCTCTCTTTATCACACACACACGCGCGCTCACAAATGTGCATAACCTTCTCCCTTAAATTTGATACATATATATATATATATTCATTACTTGCATTTTATTACGTGATCACACTTCCCTATCACGCGCACATGTAGACACATTTAACCATTTATCACAATATCTGTGCTATACCACTGTAGCGAAGTCTTTCTGGAGGGGCTTTCCCCATATAACTATTGAGGGTCGCGTCCGTTTCGTCTTGGACTGTTCCGGACAGACTTGTTCGTAAACTTTACCGTCTTTGTCGACCTTCACATTGATGTCTTTGCATAATGAGTTATGATTCTCTCCAAACATTGAAGATGATGAGCTTTTTTCTGTCTTTTCACTAAAATGGTCTGTCACATATAACTGTGCTTTAGTTAGACTAGTTCTCTCACGTCTAAATTGAATTAATTGTCTGTGTCTCCTTGAATCTGTTCGGAGCATGCGCACAGCAAGAAGCACCAATAAAATTAGAATAAATCCTCCCGCAATCGGGACGGCGATTACGGCTGCTTTAAACCACAAATCACTTTCACCGCTCCGGTCATCGGAATCCGGAATAGCGCGGGGTACGTAACCTCCAGGGGGCACCACCATGTTTAAATCTTTGTCAACTGGAAGATATAACATTTGAAATATATTAATGACTTGCATAGTAAGTTAGTAGCAAAAAATGACTTAATGAATTGCATGGCATGAAATATCTTCAGATGTGAAAGGCGAAATATATTATAAATGTAGTGTCTGGCAGAGATTAACAGCATATTTATGAAAGAAAGTAGCGATGCACCTCGCATACATATTTAGTTTATGGAAATACAGCTTCATTTCATAAGTGGAGACAGAGCACATTATACACCGCAGAAGTAGTTACAATCTCAAATGTCTAAAAGTCCGTCCCGACAATAATGTCATTGAGATTCCGCGCCATGCCAAAGTGTGTCCGCGAACTAAAAACACGAAATTGGGTAGGTCGCCTCTTCTACCACGCCTATCACAAGTACTGCCGTAACTGACACGACTCTGATGGAGCTTTGATGGTTGCCGGGTCTAGTTCAGTCTAATTGACCCGGCGACTTGAGGATTTTGGATTCCCCTCTCACAGTTAGGGGTATGTCGGGGAATCCATCACGTGCACACTGTTCCTGGTTACATAACACCAGTCGCCCCCTTCGGTACCTCACGACCTCAAGGGTGTCTTATTGGTTGCAAGTAGAGGGCACTTACTGGATCGGCGAATTTGACGTGTAAAACGTGTTTCCCTTAATTGATGTTATTAGTTAGTACAGGTTACGGCAGAAGACTAGTTTAAATGATGAATGTGTATCTATTGTCTTACGAGACAGGCTGTCGCCGAGTCTGATGTAGTCAACCTTGTCAAATTCCGGATACATCGATTTCGTTGGGTCCGTTCATTAGAGAGTCCCCAGTGACCTCCAGATATATCGTTGTCGTGGGAGGTTGCAAGGTTGATGCGGACCTGCGCCGCCATATTGTCTGGTTATCGATTGATTCGGTAGACAAACGGTCTGACATCTTCGGTTATTGTGAAGAGAAATGACGCTTATTTATGAAATATTAATCCTTCATTAAGTGTGAATATGTAATTTCATTACTGCAGCTGTGTAACTTATCGATGTGAAAGATAATAGGCTTCATTATAACGGGACCACTGGCGACCAAGTCATCGATGTTTCATGGCTCTTGGCGACACTAGGGCCAGAGACAACGCAGCGAATTAGCACAATGGGCAATGATGCTACCGAGGTCACAAAATGGTCAGACTGGCACCGGATACAGATGGCACGTGAGCCAGAAGAGGAGAATCACCCTCCAGAAGGCGTCACGTGGTCGGATCATTGTCACGGAGAATACTTGCAGCACAAGCTACTTATTGATGATTGGCGTCGTCCTCTCGTCTAAAAGGAACTGATTCTGCCAGTATATTTAGTGATCAAAGTCACTGTCATGGACATCCAATATGAATGTTACCAAAGTCTTCGATAGACTTAAAACAATGCATAACAAAATAACAAGTCAATAGTGTTCGTATATATATCTACTGCTAGTACATTTCTGGAAACAAGTACATGATGAGCTTAGCACCGCTTTCATTGCAGCCAGGCTTTTACATTATGTGTACCGGCGTTCCAGCGTTAAAATTTCCCTGTGATTTTATGTCCTAGGTTCCAATAAAATGTGCATTGTATTTGATTAGATAAACCGTTAAACACTGCAGTAACCTATGTGCGTACTCTGAGCAGAAGATTTCCTCAATGATACATTTGTTTCTTCTCAAAGCACGTGAAACCTCCAACAAGCATTGCACGCTGCCGTCGGTGTTGAAACTTCTATTTAACGACTCTTACAACGTTAAAAACTACTACACAGAAAACACCTCCGCCCCAACCCATAAACAACGCTCGTAAATAACCCAGATGAACATTAAATTAAACCTGGGAACCTTTCAAGGACCCACGTGAAGATACGGTGCACATTTCGCGATACGGGCACTTGTTTTGGCGAAGCACGCGCAAAACTACATCCGTAATGTTTCATTGACTCGGGTAGGCATCACACGTGCTTAACACTAGAGTACAATTGATATACGTGTTTGAAAGCCTCCAATATCATACACTTCCACAAACGTTCGAGTTGTGCCTTAACTCTCATTTAAAAATATCGATTATATCTAATATGTATTTTGTAAGGTTGTCGAGTAGGTTAATAAGTTTTAGTTAAGATTCGGATATTTATTGACGCACTATGTTAAAATGCTGGGATTCAGCATCAAGGCAACCTACAGGCTACCCGATATCTTCTGAAGTAATTGATTGTTTCACTTCAACAGCCAAAACATCTGATGTACGACACGTCCTTCCAAGCCGAGTCCAATACCTTATAAGGAATTGTATTAGGCGATGTTTTAGAGTTTCGCGTTCAGCGTTTGACATTTTGTCTTTTTACAAGTAAATGTTGAATGTATATATGTAAGCAGGTGTACGACAATGTCCATACATCAGAAGATATAAACGAATATGGCATTAACTTGGAATATACAGCGAGTAATTGAATTCTAGGCAAGAATCAAGACTCTGGTAGAGCAAGATTTATTAGATTTGATGGCACTGTGGAGTTTTCCGTGAAATTCATTCCGTGCGTTGAAAGATCAAATAAGCGAGACATCAAAATGATGACACTGCACTTGACATGTTCAATCCATTTCAATCTTCCCGACAAAAACAATATGTACAATGTCTATTTGGATCTCTGTCTGCTACGCTAATCTTATATAGTTCTAGTGAGTAACAGCGTCTTTCTCTCATCATTACACAGAGTTCTATCAACATTACTAGCTCACATAAATAGACATGCATGACAAAATCACAAGCTGGAGTTCTGATATGTCTAAATAAGGATTAACACACTACCAGTATACTTTTACATTAAGTGATTCATATCTCTCCCTAGCATGAAAACATCCAAGATCTCTTGGGACTCTGACTTTAGTCGTCTGGGGCTTGACAACGTTTGTTTTTGGCGTATACAAGCGAAGAGATTAACGATGGCCTCTGTTTGCGCTTTTAATTCCAATGTTGGTTCTAGATAAACATCGTCTTCATGCCTTCTATGATAGCAGTACTACACAAAGCTCCCGTGATGAACGAAACTAGATAGCATACTCGATGGGCAAAACCAACCCCTTGTATCGCTTCCACGTAAATCAATAACTTAGACACATAGTCGCTCAATAGACACGAACAGGCTCTGACACCAGACATCACCCTTTGTTGTTGTAATAATCTTTTTCAGTTTAATTTGAACTTAATTCAGATCAGCATGGCATGGCCGTCTCTGAATCTACGCGGGAGGGGCAGAAAGGTGAAAGGGTTATTTAAACAGATTTTTTTCTCGGTCTGTGATTAAAGGTGCTTCATTATTGTATACTATTGTTTATGATTATGTCTCCTCAAATTTACTTAACAGCGTTAAATCAAGCGAACACAATACCCTAACAATAAGCCACCATAATCTCCGGAGTCCACCCGACCGTTACCGACGACAGGTGGCAGGCTTTCTAATTGTCAAACCGGACCGTAATCCGGATTAGTCCGTCTGTGTTGACAGGAGAGTTTCCAAATATACTCAAGAGGATATAAACTGTTCCATACATGTGACATACCCTGAGGGGCTCACAAATTGTTAAATCTTCGATTAAGTACTTGACTTGGACAAGAAAAAAAATTAGGAAGGATTTAATGATCCTTAAAACCCCAAAAGTACACATTTATATTATACGTAGGGATTCTCTTTAACAGATTGCTTGATATATGTTCAAATATGTTCACCAGATGTGAATATAAATTAAAGTTAAATTGTAAGTTCAATGATGTTGCCAATGGTAAAGAGAGGCCGAGCGACTATGAGTGAAAGTGGTCATGAAATTCCGTGAACCACTAATATATAACACTTTTTATTTCTCACGTGTGTATTTAGTTAATTTAGTTTTACATCCTAGATAGAAAACAAAGACATTAGCAAAATTTAAACATTAAACTGAAATGTATGCAGTTGAAGTCATTCAATAACTGTGACAAACACAAAATAATTTTGTTATCGTGATTGTAAAGTATCTATATATCCTGGTCCTTAAAATTTGAATTCACAAGTTATATATGTTTGTACATATATAGATGACCCTCGGGCTAAATACAAATCAGAACACAAGTGCAAAAGGAAAGTAGAAAAACAACATCTATTATTCAAATGGCTACATTATACGATATAAAAACGTCACATTAGTTATAAAAATGAACCACGGTATTTTACGTAAATACATAAATGTTCAAATTATTGACCTACTTGGAATATTTCATTCAGCTACGTCGCTGTAATTGTGATCCATTTCATGTGTTTTGAATTTTGAATTTTAAATTACACACAATCATACCGATTCGACTATATATAGTAGTCGTCGAAGGGAGAGTTTATTGTCATAGGTTAAAAAGGGAGAATTAATTTTTAAAACTAATGTGACGTTTTTATATCGTATAATGTAGCCATTTGAATAATAGATGTTGTTTTTCTACTTTCCTTTTGCACTTGTGTTCTGATTTGTATTTAGCCCGAGGGTCATCTATATATTTACAAACATATATAACTTGTGAATTCAAATTTTAAGGTGTCTACAACAAAGGCAATTTGCATTGCAATGAATGATTATCAATGAATTATATTCAAAGTCTATGATTGTGATACCATTTCATATGAATAACAGAACATTTTTTCACCAGCTGTGCGCAAGTCTTAGCAATTAACGTCTGTTCCGGAGAGTTCCCTAGCTTCGACACTACACTTATTATACCTACGCACAAATCCTAACGACGAGTCATGGACAAGATTTATTACAAATCTGTGTTGTTTTAGATCAAGGCTGTCAAGGTACACATAAAGTGTATTCGTCATAACAGTACGAGATGATCTGTCTGAGAAACGTTCAGATTTATCAGCTGTCATGCATTTCAATAGTACGGGTATCACGTGTACGGCAGAAAATTAATAGATGCTCAAATTTACAGTCCATAAATAGTGACAAATCGTGATGTGAGGATATTTAGCACAATAGTAATGTCTCGCAAATTATCGTTAACGATTAGAAAAAGTATTTTTGTACAAAAGCTACCTCGTGCAATCTGCCCGGCAACAGGGACACTTGTTTCCTTGTTAATATCGGGGACATAGGAAAGTAACGAAACGGGGGCGACTTTGTTTATTATATCTGTCACGTGATAGAATCTGTGTTAGCTACGTGCTTACAGGTATTGGAACAGGGACCGGATAGATTATGTAAATCTAGGTATTTCCTTGCTGTATATACAGATACAGCTGGGATACTGGGTTTTAAGTAGTTCAACTACCTGCGATATATAATCATTAACATCAGATATGTAGAATATGAATGTCTTTATAAATTATGCATATGTGTTGTTGTACATGTGTGTACACGTATACCATCTAAGTGCGTACCGTATGTACGACAAAGCAGCGTTAATGGCCAACCAATTATCATTTCTCTTTCGTGACAATAAACAGAGTAGAGTTGTGGTCAGTTAAGTCTGCTCACCTATCGACCGACATACTGTTGCTCGACTTGAGCACGGCACTGGGACAGACGGAACGCAATACCGATCCGTACACTGATACGTTGCTTTTAATGACGTCAATCAAATGTAGGTTTCTATTGATGATAGTGGTCAAATAGTTGGCTACGTGTATCATGTCAAAGCATGGCGAGCTAAATACACCCACTGTAATTGTGCCTGAACATTAATTAAAAAGAGTTCGCTTTTTTCACCGTGAATGACATATGTGAAATTTATGTAGTAGTAATCAAAGTTTCATTATGATATATGGGATGTTTTTTTTAATATAATGGGTTGGATACTTGTGGAATTAACATAAGTTGCGCTGGACAGTGACAGACCGCGTTACAGTGTGTCATCGGATTGGCGTACGTATACTCCTCAAGGACGAAATATGAAAACATATTCTATTAAAAAGTCACCAAGATTTGGGTCTACGCATGTCCCACGGCCTACTCATCTCTTACTCCAGTCCACATCCGAAATTAAATCGTACCGGTTAAACTTTGAAAAGCCGGTTTAGGGTTTATGGCGTCTACGAAGCCTCGTTATCACGTACATATATCATTATATTAATTAAAACGTAAAATTGACAGTTTTTTCTAGGACAGAATTCTTATAACGTCTAATGGCACGTCTCTGTAATATCATTAACACATAAATACCGGTAAGATATTTTTAGTATAGAGAACGTCACGAATCTCGACGACATTTTTGTTGTAAATCGTAAGGCTAACAGCACATTATTAATACTGATTTTCAAGATAATCGTGACAACAATAAAGTAAATTCAATAATGGAAATTGGTTGTTTTCAAAAGAGTATTATATTGTTCTCGTTATCGTACCACAGAAATAAAGGACATCCGAGTGAAATCAATAGTGAATACACTCATTGATACCCAACCTTACACAACGTCAACGGCCTTATGCAATGTGCATAGTATGTGGTGATACAGACTCCGCAACTGCATACCCTAAACATAAATTCTGACGAGCGTTTTACTCCGTTTCTCCCAATGATCCACAAGTATATAGGATGTAAATTAACATACGTGATGGTATTTCACTGCTGAAAACAAGTAAGACACTATATCGATATCACATGATCAGATAATTACCTGCTCGATGTCTACTGCTGTTGTTGATTTTAGCAGCATTCATGACAATGTTCACGTTTTCTGTATAGTCATTGTAGTTGTAGTTACACATATCGTTTTTACAGCAGTGCAAAAAAGGCCATTCGGTGGAGGGACGGTTCCCCCTCATCTGTTCCATCACCTCCCCATCACACAGATTCTGTTGCTGTCGTACTAGCGAGTCCACACATCCCTGTGTCGTACGTTTTGTCTCGCCCTCGAGACTGACCAGAGAATAACACATTCCTAGGGGCGATTTGCACATATAACTGGTGCTTATACATCCGGGTTCGTTGCAATAACATCGAATTTCACCTGAAAAGACAGAAGGAAACATTGGTTTTAATATCAATCTCTTAATAATAAATAGTTTGTATCGATATTAATTATATCAAACATCGAATTTCACTGAAGAGACCAACGAACCCTTTGCTTTTATTATCAATATACGCCATTATAAACATGAAATTGCACCTGATCAACATTCTCATAAATCAATAAAATACCCTTTTATCCAAAAAGGCATAGCCTAGTCGTTGGATAGTCATCAATAAACAACAAAATCGTCATCAACGCATCCACAACGATCATGATCTACAACCGCCTAATTTAAACCGGAAGTTGTATGTATGTGCCGTCAGAACGGTTCGGCGGGGTAATTGAATCGTGACTGCCATAGATCATCGTTATTCGTGGTTTGTTGGTAAATACATTTACTTGCACAAAGTATTGATTCCGTGTAAGCGTTCTGTATAATGGGATCATCATTACGTAAGAAATGTCTGCTCTGACGAATCATTACACGGTGGATTATTTCGATACGGGGTCTGTCCCTTTAATGATAAAAACATTATACAAACGCTGTAATACAAGAGAGGCAAAACATATTTATGTAAATTGTTTCCATATTTATATATTAAATCTCTGTCATCTTTGATACGATCCAGACTCGGTGAATACTGTCGGCCCTGATGTCGAGTCGGCGCCTTTAACAGGACGACCATAGGACACATGAGATTCGGGGTCCTATCACGCCCGACATCGCTTGAGAACTCCTGATTACTCTAGTGCCCCAGTGGGGCTCAAGTGGCGCTCGAGTCTATGGAGCTCCGTCTAGGGCTATCTTGTTATGTGGCTGTTTTATGCTAGTGTTCTTGGGGAAGCAGAATCTGGTAACTAAGACTGGTTTGTGCGTGCATCTTAAGGTGGCTCCACACATCGTCATCAGCGTCCATTTTCGTGACGTACTTCCGGAAAAAGTACAGCTCGGACTCAATTATCTTGATCGAAATGTGCATGTACACCGTGTCGTCATTTCCGTATTGCGTATCGGGCATTCAATTAATGTCGTTGTGCAAATTATAGTTACACCTTGACCGTTTTCGTTTAAACGGTCAAACCGATCGGACCACTGTTGTTCGTTCATTAAATAAGGTCGGACCTAGTAATCTGATGCTGCTTTCAGGCGAGCCGTGAGAAAGCCTTGCAAGGCCTGCATATACATTTGCAGGTCCGCCAGGATTTATACCCGAAATTGTTACATTTATAAACGGTCAAACCGGTTGCTCCGCATACACGAACAGGCCCCTGGTAAACAATAGTACACGTGCGTGCCGATGATATGTCAACACCCGATATCGAGATTTTACCGGGAAATGTATAATCACACGTATTTCAGGAATAAAGCTTTCAAATTCATAGACATAAACAGACTCACGGGAAGATAGTGACATGAGACCAAACGACCTCAAGAAGGTCATATAGGAAACGCATGGAATGCGGACGTACCGACCTCACATGTGCAACACGAGTTCATAAGCTCGAGGTCGTTACGATTTTCGCTGTTGAGGAAGTTTCGCTCTGTCGATTAAATCGTGTTTACAAATGTAGTCTACTTACTCTGTGAAAATAATGTTTTGTAAAATATCAAGATACCTATAAAATGCATGTGTGAGTGCACGTGAGAACGGCATACCATGCGATAGCCTCTGGTCACATATGTACCTGACATGTAATTATAAACATACCGTGAGTTAGCGGACTGTGGAATGATGTCCAAAGTGTACATGACTGAGGGTAATTTGGTTCCATTAAAGAACAATAAATTGATAATTTTGATATCATATTTTTGATTTATTTCCATCATTTTTGTTATATGTAAACAGGGACAACTGTCATTGTGTAAATGTCACCCCTCTGCAAAAAGTTCCGATTTTTTTCAAGGAAGATAACTCTTACCCGGATCGAAGTGATTGTAAAATGTAAAATAAATTAATTATAAAGCCATTGTGTATATTTTGTTCAATTTCCCATTCTATATGTATAGATCTTTGTGTCCTGTTGGCTTTTAGCTTGTAGATAATCACTTTTATCCGTTCAAATTCAATAAAAAACACTTTGTGTAACATGTGTTACATATTTTGCGATAAATAAAATATTTGTAGGGTTAATTAGAAATGCTTCTTTTCATTTTATTATTGTTGTTATTGTTCCGAACAATGTCACACCCAAAAAAACCCCGGAAAATATTAAAATTGACGAAAATTCAATTTTTTGGTATTTTTTCCAAAAAAGTCCCCTAACCATCGGAGTGTTTAGATTTTCATAAAATCAACTCTACATAGTTGCATAACCATTATATGAAAGTTTCAACGAATTTCGCTCGTTAATTACGAAAGTGTGGAGCCACCTTAAAAGCATTTTGTAAACGTTTGCAGGTATTTCAAGCTAGCAGTGTTCGACCTTGAGGGGGTTTCTTGTCTTCCAGATACCCTTCAGTCTGAGTGTTACAAAAAGCTGTGGATTTCCCCGAAATGTATTTCAGTTGGAAAGTCCCTCCCATCCCAAGTAAATTTTGAAATTAACCTCCTAGCATGGTTTCAATGCATATATTCAATTCCTGAATGGATCGCTACATGATTCATATTTCGGTCAGTTATTATGTACGATTCTGTATCAGAACAGCATCATCGTTACAGAAGACACAACACAAAACATCACTTGGTTTAATGCTATTGCGATCCCCGAGGAGCGTTTTACACGACACAACTCCAATGTACGGCAGTGTGATTCCCATACAATCGCCACCAGACCACTCTATTTCTCCATCTGATACCGCCAATATTCTCACTTCTTGATGCACGACAAAAACTCGTGTCTGGAGAATGCCACCAGACTTGGTTTTTATATGGACGCGAGTTCCAGCCGCTAGGTGTCCTATTGGTCATACCATAACAGACCTACTCAGGGGCTTACAGTCATTGAATGTCTTTCTTATCTATATATTGCGGTTTATATATGTTCTGCTAGTGTTTTACAGGGGAAATGCGACAAATGACCAACAGTTGGTGAATGCATTCTTCTTACAGGCCAAGTTCGTTGGAGTGTCTCTGGGTTCACGGAGTATATATATATATATGCCAAACGTACCTGTGAGATGCACAGTATAGTAAATTAGCATATCCGGGAAGCTTAATAATTTATATATATCCACCACTTGTTTCAGAACAAAATAAGCATAAAAATGTGTACAGTTCTACATCCGCTTATATATAAGGTCGTAAAACACTGAAGGCCAGTCTTAGATTGGGACGTCGCGATGTGTAGTGTAACTGTTTCTATGACGTTAGAAGTTGAGCATGCTCCGGCTGGTAGGCCTCGCCCTAATGCGTCCCTAGACATAGCGATTACCCTTTAATAGATACAGTACACGCCGTGCTGGGAAAATCTAAGTGATGGCGAACCTGCATAGCACACATTTGTACAATAAGTAACCGTATATACATGGAAATCATAGAAAGTTTACGTCGATAACGTACAGGGCGCAGTTAAGGATCGGACATGAACGTGTCGGGATCAAATATTTCAATTGTATTGTTCATTTTTAGTAACATATTATATTTAAGGCAAATAGTACCAGTACAGGGCACAATATATCTGTATTGGTTTTTTCATGTTTGGTACAGGCTATTTGATTTTATTAGTTGGCGGAGTATCATGAATGTATTCAAGAGTATACAGCAAAACAAACACGGCAACAGAGAGTTTGATAAAAACAACGATTTTTACGACGATGTCAATACAATTGTGTGACAACAATAATGATAATAATTTTAACAAGAATACTGATAAATGTATATAATGGTACAAATTAGAGATGTCTGATGCCACTCAAAACAAGTATTGTGATCCACTACGATACTTTAGGTGTATTGCAATGTATCGCGATGTATTGTCAAATATATTAATATTTGGCAGCTGTGTACTATATCTTCTTCCGATAAAAGTAATGATATTATTTTTTTTTTTTTTATATTTTCTGTTGTTTTCAGTTGATACTATTCGAATCTATTTTCAACACTCCAAAAGAAATGCAAGAAATGATCAAAACAGACCCCCAAGTAATGTATTCCTTGTAAAGACGAAATAAATAATTCCAGGTTTTTTTTATGGAATCGTGATATAGCAGAATTCTCAATTCAGTCTGATCTATCGCGATATATCGATACTACTACGGTGTATATTGATCATACGGCACCGGTATACACAAACGGAATTCACGTGTAGGCTATTTGCCTCGAATCCCACAGCTAGTCTACACCATTACCGATCTCCCATTTAACTCTGTAGAAATCCGAGTTGAAGCCCTCGCCAGTCAAAGTCAGCTATAATTAAGTTAACATACTCGTACCGATATATGCTTGGCTAATACCATAATTCGATTACATAATTGGGAGTTTGATATTTAGATGAATCAAACAGAAAGGAGAACTTTTAAGTTAGATTAGCGTCTGAATTCTTTGCTTTTTGCCTTAACTATCTTATTTATTGCCAAGCTTTGATTCTCGTTCATATAGAATCTTTTCAATTTTGTGTTACTCTCATTCCAATTATTTCGATATTTCAATTATTTTATTGAATAACTGTACAATACACAAGATAGATGACCTTAAAAATCTTGACGTTATCTTCTTCGTTTAGATACAAATTACGCGATTGCCGTATTCACTGTACAGGCAGACAATCCAAACGCCACGATCGAAAACGTACCATTACACGAGAGTTCAGGGGTAGAGGGAACCAATCATCATTTCGGGGCAAGCTGACGCAGCCCGGAATACACTCCGGTACACATATTTCTATCTATCACGAAATATGTTTGATAAGTTTAGAAAACCTGAAGACATGTTAATAAACATTTCCCATGAAATATAGTCATCTTGTTCCAAATTGGCGTACATCTATTTGTATACAGTGGGTTAGGTGGTAGCGGGCTGTATCTTTCTGCATCTTTATCCCAGCGTCTGAATCGGCCA